GGGGGGGGCGCAAGTTAGGGTTTTTCCCTCTCTCTCTCTCTTTCTGGATGGTTGTTTTTTGTTTTGGGTTGTGTTTTTGTTGGTGTTTTTTTTTTTTAATACTGTTCTGGAGAATTCAAAGCAAAACAAAGAAACTGCCTCCTCTGGGGTTGTCAGTGAGAAAGGACGAGTTGTGCAACTGGCTTGGGATTTGCAAGGGGGTGGGGATCAGAAGAAGGTGCAAAGCCACAAAGTGTGAGTGTATGTGTGTGTGTAGAGGGGTATGTGTGAAAAATCCCTTCCAGCATCCCTTTCCGCTGGTTATTATTTAGTTTTGTTGTTGTTCACTTTGCTGTCATCTATTTTTCAGACCTTTCTGCATCTAAGATGGTGAAGAAAGGAGTGAGGAAGAGAACAAAATAACTACTGGGAAGCCTCAAACCAGGTTGGGGAGTGTGTGTGTATGTGGGGGGGTGGGGTGGGGAAGAGAAAAAGAGGATTAACCACAGCAACCCCCCCAAAAAAACCCAACAGCTCTTTTTTCTGAGGGAGGACTCGAAGGATTAAAAGGCAGCAACTTCTGAGGCGATTTGTCCCCTGAGTTATGGATGTTGGTGCACTTACTTCAGGCCAGATCAGAGCTCAGAGGGATCTAACCAGGAGCAGCAACCACCGGCTCTCCACTTGCCTTTTACCAGGTTTTACCCTTCCAGTATGTTTCATTCGATAAGACATTTTCCAGCGCCCAGAGTTTCAGTACAATGTGCAAATGGATACTGACAAATGGTGCCTCAGCCTTTTCCCACCTGCCTCGTTGCTGCTTGCTGCTGCTCTTCTTGGCGTCTTCTGTGCCTGTCACCTGCCATGACCTCGGCCAGGACATGCTGTCCCCGGAGGCCACCAACTCTTCTTCTTCATCATCCTCCTCCTTCCCCTCGTCCTTCTCCTCTCCTTCCAGTGCGGGGAGACACGTGCGGAGCTACAATCACCTCCAAGGAGACGTGCGCAAGAGGAAGCTCTACTCTTACAACAAGTACTTTCTCAAGATCGAGAAGAACGGCAAGGTCAGCGGCACCAAGAAGGAGAACTGCCCCTTCAGTAAGTACCGCTCTGCCGCCGCGCTGCCGGCCAGCGGCTGCCGGCCGCCCCCAGCGCCCCGGCGGCGGCAGAGCCC